ATATTTTGAGAACATTATTAAAGACCAGATACCATTGGACAACATTAACGTTACTGGAAGAACATTTAAGTTATGAAAAGATTATTTCTGATGTTCTCTGAACATTCAAAACGTCCAGATTTTTTTTCTTGGTTGTGTGAACATTAAGGGAACATTCCATTTGATCATTTTGCAAAAATTATGGGAACAGTTAAACGTTCTCTGAATGTTCTGAAACAAGTAGAAACATAAAAAAAAAATGTTAGATTTCAGAAAAAATAAACATTCCATGAATGATGTATAAATATTTTGAGAACATTATTATTAAAGACCAGATAACTTTGAATGACATTCAAATGACATGAAAGTTCTATGAATAATGTATAAACAACATTTTTGTGCTAATATTTTGAGAACATTATTAAAGACCAGATGACTGAATGACATGCTGTGAATGCTACTGGAAGAACGTGTGTTCATAACTTTGAGAGAACCTTACTAGACCGTTCTGAGAGTGTTATAGTACCTGTCATCTGGGATTTTTCTAAAACACGGATACTGCAATTCATTGCACAGCTGTGAAAGAAACTTAAATAATTGGATTCTCTGCGACACGTTCTGAGAGTGTTATAGTACCTGTCATCTTGGATTTTTCTGGGGCCTTTTTATAAAACACGGATACTGCAATTCATTGCACAGCTGTGAAAGAAACTTAAATAATTGGATTCTCTGCGACATGTTTTGCACATTTATTTAGCTAAAGAACCCAATTTCTCAATACGAAATTAAGTACCTAGTTGATTTATAGAAAATAAAGTGCTATTTATTTGCATATGACAGACAAACATAAACCATTTCACTACCACAATTAGGAAAGATGAACTGCACATTCTATAAATCTCCTTAAATTCAAACCAGTCTCACTGAAATTAGAGCTGTACAATTCATCAACTACATAATCATGATTACAGCTCCTGTGATTAATTATTAAAAGTGTTGATTAGATCTACCCCTGTTTCTATTTTAAAAAATGTATTGTAACCAATCACAGACCTGTCCGTTGTGCTCATGCATACAATACTGAATCACAGGTGTTTAAATCAGTCTTAAAGTCTATCGGTAATCACAACAAGTACTAATTTTTTAAGCAGTCTGATTGGTGTTTTCGGGTTCATGAGTGCTGAAGCAACATCAACTGAGACTCAAGACGAAGCTTTAAAATGACAGTGGAAAGCATTGTTGGGGTTTTGGAATTGCAATGCATAAAAATATGGCTAAATGCAAATAGTTCAACCATCAAGTTTCTACTATATTCAGCATTACTTGTGTCTGTCGTTCCCTTGCTCTGTTGGATTTCTGTAAACATCCCATTTCTGAGTGGTACCCAAGTCACCTTTCATTGAAAAATTGAGGACCAAATTCATTCCATCCACATGGTGAAATGAAAGTGCTCTCTGTGCATGAAAGCAAACTCATGCAGTCAATTTCATTAGTAAAACCAGCGACAACTGTAGCTGTAGAATTGCCTTTTGAATATGACAGATGAATTTTGTGCTTTTTGAAGTGTCCCTAACCGTCCCTAACCAATAAAATCCTGATGGAATGTGAAAAGGACAGCTGGATTTTTTATCATAATTTGGAACCAATCAAATAAGAATATTTTAAGAATGAAATAAGACTGAAAAAACATTCTTTAGAATATTCTGTATCTTTACCGTGACTCTGCTTGTATTGTATATCGAAACAATATATTGCTACATTCAATTTCTTTGATGTCCTAAAGGAACATTTTATCCTATTTTAAAAGATAAAAGATGTGTTCCAAAAGATCTACTTTTTGTTTTGTGTTTTATTGCAATCCTACAAAACGAAATGGCATGTGCACATCCAAAACACTGATCAAAACCATCCAAGGAGGCCTTTCAGAAGAACAAAAGGACTGCACTCAAAGCTCTCAAACTGTGTTCTAATAGCAGACAAACAATGTTTTGACCATTCATCAGGTAGTCAAAAACATTGCAACTTCAAAGTCCTTAAAAACATACATGGGTTGGCCTGGACAACAAACAAGACTGATATAAAAGGGGTGGTTCATTGCGATTTCACTTTTTTAACGTTAGTTAGTGTGTAATGTTGCTGTTTGAGCATAAACAATATCTGCAAAGTTACGAAGCTGAAAGTTCAATGCAAACGGAGATATCGTCTTTTAAAATTCTGGCCTACAAAAACGGCTGGTAGGGACTGCAACGAGCTACTTCCCGGGTTCGTGACATCACAAACCCAGATAAACTCCGCCCTCGGGAAAAAGGCAGCAAAGGGGGCGAGGCCAGGCTGCGCTGCTTTAGAGAAGAGGAAGAGAAAACTAGAGGTGCACGTAAAAATCTATTCATATATGAATCGCGATTCTGTCTTCTAACTATTCTAATGGATTCACAAGTTTCAAAATCAATGTTCTAAAGCAGCGGTTCTTAACCCTCTACCAACAAAAAACAAAGGTCTACCATTAAAAGCCGTGCTTGCACAGGTTCTGCACGATCCTCTTCAATAATATCCTCTGCTTTAGACGCGCACTAGAGGTGGTTTAGCCAATCACAACACACTGGGCTAGCTTAACCAATCAGAGCCCATCGCCTATTTCTGAGGGCGGGGTTTCATAAAAACAGGAAATGATCAGCGCGTTTCTCAGAGAAGGGACAGAGCGGTGTGGAATAAAGGTAAATTATGTGAAAAATAATGTGTTTTTTTAAAAACGAAGCATTAACACATGTTAGACTGCACCCCATAAACACAATCAAGCCTAGAAAAAAAACAGTGAACCACCTCTTTAACCAATGAAGAAACATAGGACTCACACTGAACACACTGAACAATGTCATTTTGTCATTTTGATCTTATATTAGAATCCTTAAAATTCCCATTAGGATTCTTGAGGGTTGTTTTAAAATTATATAAAATTAAAAAAATAAAAATAAATAAAAATAGAAACAATTTTCACTCAGAATTTTTTACAGCGTAATATTATTATTTTTTTAGCACTTTTATTAGTGTTTTATCAAATTCATATACTGACAAAAAAAAATTTAATTGAAAAAAATATTGGGGAACTTTTTTCATTTTTTTTAAGCGCAATATGAATCTTTTAACATTTTTTGACTAGTGATTATCTTAAATTCATACTAAAAATGATGTTGAAACAATTTTCACTCAGAAATTTCTAGTAATCGTAACAAACAATTACAAGGAATGGCAAGTAACACAGAATTAAATTTGAAGCTTTGCGTTTGTTTTTACAGTGCAATACAATTTTTTTTTGTGTGATTATCTTCAGTTTACTAGTTTGTCACTTAAACGGCTAAACCAAAAGAGTGTGCAAACATTTTGAAGTCAAATTCTGATGTGTACAGTCGACTGTTTTGTGTGAACACAACATCTACATGAGGCCTTTGGTCTTTAAGCCGATGCAGAGAGACTGACTTCAAGGTAAGAGGGTGGAAGAGGGATTTTCTGAAGAGGTTTAAAAGTGCTATTGTTATTGTCTGACATGGGCGTTCTCTGGGGAGTATCGTAGGCGAAGTGTGTGAGTGCATTGACATGGGAACTAAGGTAGCACTCGATGAAGGTAACTCTCTCTCTCTCTGCAATAAATTGAGTGCATATAAATATATATAAGAGGAACAATGATCTCATTAGTCACATTTAGCATGAAGAGTTATGGCCGTGTTGTTGGCCGTACTCTGGAAAAGCTGCTTCGTGTCCACATCAGCGTTTGCCAGCTATCTGGGCCAGTGCATCATCAGCAACAAGCCCAGCTGTCAGCTCTGAGCTGCCCACAAAATGTCAATGCCAAACATTCATATGCATTTATATGCGCCTTTATTTTTCCGCAGGCTATAGCTATTTTGATGTCTTCTGTTGAGGGTTTTTCCCCCTATATTTTTAAAGGAATAGGCTAGTTCACACACACACACACACACACACACATACACACACACACACACACACACAAAATATTGATATATCTATGCAATTGTGATCATTAAATTAAAGGGTGTGATTTAATTCATGAAGTCTGTTGCTCTGCTTATTTCAGTGTAAAGAGCAGCATTTACACACATGCAGCTTATTAGTGTTTTCTGAGTTTAACATACATTTGGGACAATGTTGTAAATTGTAATGTTAGTTGGTTCTTGTAAAGTGTGACCCAACTGTTTCCTTCAAATCACAATCATATATTATAGCGCTCTCTGTGTGTGTGTGTGTGTGTGTGTGTGTGTGTGTGTGAGTATACTCTTAAAAATTACACATCATGTAAAACATCAGTGTACTTTACATCTAAGAGTTTCTGTCAACAAAAAAGTTTGGGGACCCCTGTCTTAGGGTCAGATTTACTAACAGCTTCTGCCAGTGTAAACCCTCTTTTGGTGTTAAAAAACTACTGTCAGGATTTACTACAGACGTGCAGTGAAATATTACAGCTTACAAGGCGTGGACACAGTCATTTTTGTGGCTGACCTTATTGCATAGGCATTAGTATGAATTTTCCTTTCAGATGCAAAATTTATGGGAGGAGAGTTTTTAAATGAATCATGCAATATGATTTACTAAGGTTTACGCTAGTCAATGTACTGGTGTTTACCACCCAAAAACGCATGTCTTAAACCAGATGCTAATTTGCACTGCTCTTGGTAGGTTGCATCGGTCATTATGGAAATGATCTGGCTGCGTCTGTCTCCTTTAATGTGTGCATTGTCAATAGATCAGCCGCAGAACTTTCCACTCCCATTGGTGCTTTTATGGGATTGCACTCTCACACTAATTTACCCTGTTTAGTAAATCTGGCCCTTAATGTACAAACTTGGGTTAGGAACTTTTCAAAACCCTTAACCCGAGACCATAAATTCTAATTCAAAGCCAACATCAGATTGTAATCCACTTTAATTCAGTGCATTCTCAAAGAACTTGACTGATGCATTTTTTTTTTTTTTGCCTCAGTAATAGCTGTAAGCATCTCTCTCTTTCAGTGTGGAGCATGACTTCCGGCTTCAGGAGGGTCAGGTGACGCGAGCGTGGAAGGTCCCGGAGCAGCAGGAGTCAGAGCAGAGCTCTCCTCAGCTGGTCTTTCCTCCTCCGCGCCAGCAGGACTCTCCACAGGCCCTCCAGACGGTCAAGAAGAGCCGCAGGAAGTGCTTCTGGTTCCTGTGAACTCTTTGATAGCAGGACGTGACATCACTAATCAACAAAGACGGTTTCCAACCAACTCTAAGCCTCTTCTCTTCCGGTCCTCTGGTTTAACTTGTTTAGAGGCACATCATTCGCTTGACGAGGAGCCTTTATTTATTGTCTTTTTAATCAAGATTAATGGACTTAAAGGCTGCTCGCTTTGATATTTCAGATTTATAGTCCATGGAAAGAATTTAAAAAGTCCTTCAGACTCAAAAATGTCCTTTAAACAATAATTCACCCCAAATCAAAATTTTGTCATTATGTCCTATTTTCATTGATCTGTTCCTTGAAAGTGCCATAAGTGCTTTCTTATGGAATTACAAGTTGAGTGTTTCTGATTGTTGACCAATCAGAAACGCTCTCAAGCTGTCAATCATTTTGAGTGTTTGTTTTTTTGTCGTTGGAATAGAGAGAACTGCATCTATTTATTCTGATTTGATTTTCCAGATTTATAGTTCATTGTGATCATTTGTGTGTTCTTCTCCAGAAGGGGGAGAAGGAGATGGTCCTCACTGCAGAACACAAGATCCAGGGAGCGTGGTTGGATCCAGATCCAACTCCTCCCACCTTACATACACTTAAACCTACCCGTCTCCACCCCCTGATTCCTAAACCCACCCATCTCCACCCCTAAACCTACCAATCTCCAGCCCCTAGATGTGGATCCAACCACGCCCCCTGGATCTTGTGTTCTGCAGTGAGGGGCTACTGGGGAGAAGGGGCTTTTTGTTGGTTCATGTACCCTTTGAGCCAATACTTACTACCTGAAAAGGGATGAACTTCACAGCAGACAGTGATTGATACACAGTGACAGCAGGAGACGGGACGCTAAGGACACATTAAAGAAAGAGATGAAAGAGGACTTACAGGTAAGAAATGGAAGCAAGATTACTGATTCATCATTTTGGAGCAATGAGGGTCAAAACACCAGCTTTTATACTATGAAAACCTTTCAACGAATCAGTTATTCCACATGCTTAACGCTTTTATGATCTAACAACTATACACGCACAGCGATATTTAAGGCAGAGATATTGGGAGAAAGTGAATTTAAGGAGTGTGTCATTTCATTCATTGTGAATGCTTAATTTCAGAATCCATTAAAAGCTCTATAAAATATTTTACTACACAAAAATCTGTGTCAGGTGCTGTTTATTTGTTTTTTGATCATGGAGTATTCAATCACAGATGGATGCTTTTTCATACAGACTAATGCACAACAATCTGAGGTGGGAGTGCCAGAATATACAGTACTAATGGTGTGGAATAAAATAAAACTGCACAAATCATATTTGTTGTGTATATATAGCAAGTGAAGTTTATATTTACAAATACCTACAAAATAATGTATTTTATTATATATGGGCCTGTAAACAGGTAAACACTCAGATCTCCAGAGTCGTGATTACTATTTCTGTTAACCCAGCTAACAGGGAACATTCTCATGATGCTTTTTAAAAGTTATATAAATGTTAGGATAAAATGCTCTCAAAGTAATGTTTATGGAGCATTCTTATAACTTCGTTAATGTTTGATATACGTTCTCATTAAAGAAAAACATTCTGAGATCAGCATTCTCAAAACAACGTACTTCAGTGTTCTAAGAAATATTATTTTATATATATTTAATTATTATAATGACAACAACAACAACAAAAAATTGACATTTTAATGTTCTTAGAATATACCAAAAATGTTTTTAAAAAAACATTTATAAAAAAAAATAGTTATATTTTCAGTGAAAATAAAGTTAGTAGAACACTGTAAGAAATGTTTTTGTAACTTTTAAATAACATAATCACAACAAGGCAACTGGGCATTTTAACATTCTTAGAATATTATACATATACATTCAAATAACATTATATTTTGGGTAAAAATGAAGTTAGTAGAACACTGTAGGAAATGTTTTGTAACTTTTAAATAACATTATAATCACAACGACAAAACTGGATGTTCCCACATAATTATAACTTAAATAATCTTTTAAAAAGTTATGTTCATTCTAGTGAACTGGTTCATCTCAAATGGTTTTCTCTCTTATATCTAGCTTTTGAAAATTGTTTGGACAATTCCTGTAAATGAACAGCTTTCAAAAAGATTCACAGATTTGAGTCGTGATCTTTTTCTCTCAATTTATTGAAGTTATATTCATTTTTGTTGTTGTTTTTATTCAGTATGAATTTAAAGTTAAAGTTTGATGGTGTCACTCTGTTTGGGTTCAATCATTCAAAAACCCTCGCTGGTATAATTATAATAAACAATATTGGCTGCTTAAAGGGGTCATATGATGCGAATTCAATTTTTCCTTTCTCTTTGGAGTGTTACAAGCTCTTGGTGCATAAAGAAGGTCTGTAAAGTTGCAAAGACTAAAGTCTCAAATCCAAAGAGATATTCTTTATAAAAGTTAAGAGTCAACCATGCCTACCTAAAACGGCTCGTTCTAACACGCCCCCACATACCTACGTCACGATCTGGGAAGATTTGCATAAAGCCGCCCAAATGTCCACCCAAAGAAAGAAGGCGTAACTTTTATTCTCACTGTAGTATTGTTGCTGCC